ACTTATATGGTATCTATGAAAAGTCTGAGTGCTCACGCTGAGCGAAGTATTTCCCTCACTTGAGTGTAGGTAATATATTTCATTTAACCTACTTTCAAGCAAATTATGTTTTACCGTAAAACAAAATATCTTTCATGTCAATATAAAATAATAACACAGTTTTATAGCGCCATACACATGAAAAAAAATAATATATTGCGGTATATATAAACCGATTTATTTAAAATCCGCGTCCGACTGCATACCGTCGACTCCGAAGTGCTTCATGTTTCTTTCGAAGCTGCCGCCGAAAATTCCGAAATGGAACAAACCCTGACTTTGAACCCCAAGCCCAAGAGGACTGCTAATTAGACTAAAGATGAGGAGTTTAGCCTCTTGGAACTAATAGAGGTGAAGGAGATAAAGGGTAAATTTGGGCCTAACCTTACAATACAAGACAAGCGCAAGGCTTGGGAGTGGATTCACTCCCGCCACAGTGCCAATAGCACTTTCATTTCTACAGAGATGGCTCGTGTTCGATTTGTACGAGGGCTTATTTGACCTCTGATCATGTCGGTCACATATATTAATCCTTCTCGATCTAATCTGAACCGTTTCTTCAACTCGTGATCACTATAACTGTTCAGCGCATCTTTTCTTATCCGGAACTGCCTCATACTCCGTAGCTTCACTCGCTGTTGTGCTGCTTCCAGTGCTGTTGGGTGGACTTAAGTGTGGCACGTTGTGCTGAGTGTCCACCCGTAGGACACTTAGCCACATCGTTCAGTTGAGTGCACTTAGGGACGCTGAGTAGTTTGATAAATAAGACAAGTAAACTACTCAAAAAAAATCGAGTGCTGCATCTATGAAATATCCTCTGCTACGTGCACTTAAGGATACTCAGTATTTTGATAAATACCGCCCCTGCTGTCCACCTTTTTCTTTTTCTTTTCTTTTTTACTTTTGTTGGATTTCTTGGCCATCAACCAACGTCATGTGGCCAAGGTTATTAAGCCAGAGGATCCATTTCATTGTTTCATTCTAGATTATATTTCCCTCATCTGGTTTTAAACTGGGTATTGCTAGTTCTTTATTTTTATGCGGAAATAATTTGCCAGTTATTATCTATGGTTTCTGTATTGGTTGCATACTATTGAAATATAGTTAGGTTGGTGGATTGTGGACGCGGTGTGCTCATTGCCATGGATACCAGAGTGGCCTTTTACCCATATCAACTTGATTGATTTGATGGCGCTAGGTAGCTTACGAATTACATTACAAAGCAGTTCCTTTTCTGTGGTTTCTAATGATCTGATGGCTTTAAGTGAATCTAAGGAGTCAATAGTGCAAAATCTAACGCTTTATCATTAGGAATAGTCTACATTATACCTAATCATGGCCTTATATATGATTAGCAAAGACCCTTTTATTACCAGAAATGGACTCATAAATTTAGTGCTTTTTATATTCATTCTTTGCATTTTGAATGAGTATTGGGTGATTGTCTAGAGTTAGACTGGTGTTCGGCTTCCTCATATCTATATCTATCTATCTATCTATCTATATATATATATATATATATAAGAAAAAACAACAACATAATACTCTTTCATGTGGAAAACTTTAAACCCTCACTGGAGGCCCCAGTTCTGAATCATATCTGGTGCCATCTAGATGCGATTGGCCGAGAATTCTGCATTACTGCTGAAATGCCATAATGCACAATCATCAGTGTCCAGTGAGTATTTAAGATTTCGAGGGAGAGCTAATAAGTTGTCACTGATCAAACACAGAAATAATGTTGGTGACAAGACACTTCTTCATGGGACCCCATTCGCCTGGACAAAAATGTCCGAGAAAGTGACATTGCCAGAAAATAACTTGAAAACAAGCCAAGTTTCCATGTAATCCAAAAACAAGGTTTTCTGAGTAGACCATATCGCCAAGACATGTCATAGGATTTTTCTATATGTAAAAGATACTGAGATCAAAAATTATTTTTGGCAATTGACTTTAATGTGACTGTCCAGCATTGCTAGATGGTCAAGAGTTTGGCGCCCTGCTCGTCAAGTAGTAAATAACTGGAATTCAAGAAATGCAACTGCTAACAGTTCGTTCCATGACCTTGCATAAGCAACTTGTCAACACAATCAGGCCATAGATAGCAGATCTGGGATTTCTCCCTCTTTTTAATATGTGAATGATGTGAGTGAAGTGCAATGAATTTGGAAAATATCTTTTACAAAGTTAATTGTACACTTCTAGCAATTCTATTATGGCATCGTGAATGATATGCTTTTTCATCTCATACCGAATCTCATCGGGGCCTGGGGACGATTTTCTACAGGTTTCTAGTACTCGGACAGCTCATCCATTGTAAAATCTCCTATGGCAAAGTCTATTGATTGCAGTTCAGCCACTTCCTTGGTGGTCAGGAACACGGGATGGTAGTTATTTAAGCTACTAGTATGTAGGAGTCCATTAGCAATGTCTCTAAGTGAGTTGTTCACAAACAAAATTT